TTAACTCTATCCCAGCCAAAATCAGGACAACTCTTCATTTCATACTGACAGTCATTAAAGCTGCCGTCAGAGTACCCCACCACTCACACCACCACCATTCCTCACTGAAAATGTGTCAGCATTACTAAAGGGTAGCAGAGACAAAAAATACTTCTAATATTACTTCATGATCTGATTTTAAATAAACCTAATGAATGTAAATTAACAGTCATCATCTGAAGAGTTGCATAAAAAAAATCTGAATGTATTTAAGATTACTGTTCAAGTATTTTATTGTTTCTCCTAGCAAACTTGTAAGGATAAACATATCCCAAACTAAAAGAAAAATACTTCACAAAATTGCTTTCATGAATTTCCAAGAAATGTCTTAAAGAGCAAGTCTAGCAGAGGGCCACCAAGCTAGTAAAGGAGCTAGACATACCAAGAAACACATGACATACCAAGAGAGGCTGAAAGAGCTGGCCTTTTTCAGCCTGGAGAAGAGAAGGGGAAGGGGAGACCTTACTGCTGTCTACAACTGCCTGATTGAAGACACAGAGAAGACAGAGCCAGACCCTTCTTGGTGGTGCACTGCAGTGGGACAAGAGATGGGGACAAGAGGCAGCAAACACAAGTTGGAATTGGGGAAATCAGATTTTCTTTTTAATTTATTCATTTATTACCATGAGGGTGGACTGGACAAGTCCCTTGGATCACAGTGTTGAACTAGACAACCTTGAAAGGTCCCTTCTAATCTAAAATATTTTATGATTCTGTGAAATTTAATAGAAATGCTGAGTCTAGATTATTGTATTTCCTGCTTCACTGCATTTAATCAGACAACTAAAGAAAATACTCCCAATATTTGAGATAGTAAGCATAACCAGCCCAATAACCAAAAAAAAAATAAAATGCTTCTTAAAAACCACAATGGAATCTGGCACAGTATAAATGCTCAACCTGGCAAAGGAAAATAGTGCTAACTTCTGGTTTACATTAACCTTCATTATTTTAGTAAGAAAACGCTATATGACAAGAATAATTAAATATTGCATGGCTGGTTTTCATTTGCTGGAAAAAAGTCTTTATAAAGCTTAAGGCTTTTTGATGACTATTCCGGGAAAGTGATCGAAGATATTGATGTAGACATTGAATGGATCAATTGTTTAATGAGACTTTCATTTTTGGGGAAAATGGAGTAATTTATCAACATGAATGTAAAATTTTAGGGTGAATATGTTTTTAAATGACATTTTAGCTAAATGAGATTGCATGGCTTAAACTGCAAACACCAAAGTTAAGTGAGAGGAGGACGTTTCTGAAGGAATGCAATAATAGGAAAAAGAAGGCTGCAACAACTGCTTTGGACTTGGTACAAACAATTAAAACATAACAGCAAGACAACCCCTTCTTTTAATTCCTACCTCTAATCAAATAAATGGTATATAAAACTAGAATCTAAATGAGATTCAATGGCTTAAACTGCAAACACCAAAGTTAAGTGAGAGGAGGACGTTTCTGAAGGAATGCAATAATAGGAAAAAGAAGGCTGCAACAACTGCTTTGGACTTGGTACAAACAATTAAAACATAACAGCAAGACAACCCCTTCTTTTAATTCCTACCTCTAATCAAATAAATGGTATATAAAACTAGAATGCACTTCCATTTTTTCTAAATACTTCTTAGGAAGCGGAAGAGATAACAAGAAAAGAACGGGAATGTAAACACCATTCTTGATCAAGTAATAATCGTATTTTTAAAAATAAGAGATCTGTTACATTAAGAAACCAGAATGACTCAAGAAGGGAATGATTGGAAAGGTGATGGAAATATCACCTTGGACACTGACTTTGTTCCTCTGCAAGAGGAGCACACTGCAAACAGAAGCGACTCAGGTTCTCAGCACAACCATAATCTCCCTCAATTTTATCTTCTCACCATCTCTCAAGCCCCCCTCACTTCTGCTTTAGGAATAAAAACTGTAAACAGTTTAAAAAACAATCCCAGCAGGAATCACTTCCAAAGAATGCCATGTAAGTTGTTACTGATGGCATACTTGGTTATTAAACAAGGTTGAGAGAAGAAACAGAAAACTCAAACCAGCTTAATCTGAAGTACTGTGTTCTTTTTTTCGTACAAATGCAGAAAAGCGGGGAAAAAAAGAACATGCTTCTTACTTATTTTTCACATTGTTTTACCATTCTTAATGTGTTTGCTATATAAAAAAAAAAAATCTCCTTTTAGAAAAAATACTACATTATAACGGATGATTAATTTCTTTGGGCTTATTTCAGAATAACTTACAGTTTCCATACACTTTGACAACATACAACTACAACTTACGATAAAGTCTTAATCTCGAACATTTAAATTTACATAAATTATAGATTTAGAAAGAATGTTAAAAATAAGTTCTTAACAGTTAATAATATTATAGTAAAAATAAAGTTCAAACCCCATTAAACGTTCTTTCTTCAACACCTGTATGATATATTTAACTAGCTGCTACAATATAAGAGAAATTGTGAAACCTTTTTTGGCAAAACTGTTAGAGTGATTGACTAGTAACCTTCTAGAATTCTACTTGTTTTAAAACCAAAATAAAATGACTGTTTAATCAGTTACAACACAGAGTGCAGATACACTTGGGTCTGCACAGATACATCATGCCCCCACATACACACTTTTGCACTAGTTCACAATTCAGTACTTGAGAATGATCATTAAAGGCAGGAAAAATGCTTCATTTTACCTACTTGGTAGTTTTAGGAGCCCACAGTAATTTTCCATTGCCAAAGTCATTTCTGGACTGAAAATATTTAGTCCATGACCTGAATAATCTTTCCGTTAGGCGATAACATGCCTCTCCAGTTTATATACAAGCACAGATAGAAATAAAATATGCCACAAATAAATTAAAGGACATTTATACTTAAATAAGAAGCTAATTTATTCAGATGTTAATTGGTGAATCAATTTCTTGCATTTTCCATGCATACCAAAGTTTTTGCACACACTTCAAAAAGTAGTGGATGAAGGAGAAAATAACTCCTTACAGTATTTACTTTAAAAAAATATTTTTTCTAGTAGGCCTTCTTGTTCACAAAACCTATTTAGAGGACCAATCATTTTCCAGATAAACAAAAGAGAGTTCACAAGCTTATAGGGCCATTAAACTTACAGGAGCTGCAGGGAAGTTGGATGAAAGCTCATATGGTTCCTCTGAGATCCAATGGCCCAATTCCAAAGACCACAGAACCTAAAATAAATTAAGCGGTAAGTAGAACTCTTACAATTTCTAAAATAGCAAACTCTTTGAATGTGTAATTAGAAGTAACAGTGCAGTTGCAATATTGCGGTTTGATATTTCATTACCCAAACCAAATGATTCGCTGAAAAATCAAGCAATCAGAAAGATACAAATTTTACAACTGAAACAAACCATTAAAATACCAAAATCATATTTCTATGGATAGCTACATTAAATTTTAAAACCTTGTGAGGATATTAGAAAAAGTCAACTTTTTGCATCACAATATATAAAATTAGAGTAAAGATTTGAAAAGGGAAGTCATATCAGTTCTGTTCTCTTGGTTCAGTTAATCATTGAACTTCATGAGGTTCCTGCTGGCCCATTTCTCCAGCCTTGTCAAGGTCCCTCTGAATGGGAACACCCATCTGGTGTATCAAACACTCCTCACAGTTTTGTAACATCGGCAAACTTGCTGAGGGTGCACCCTTACCCATCGTCCAGATCATAAATGAAGATGTTAAACAATATTGGACCAGTATCAGCCCCTACTACTGACAGGGATTATGCAACTATTTTATATATGTAATGTGGATTATATACATCAGCCTGCAAAGAAGAAAAGCTCAGTTTCATTCTCTTCAGTATCCTTCTCTACGAACGTCACATTCTAGAGCATAAAAAAAGGTTGCTAACAATGCGGAGTACTGACTGCCTGGAAAATACACAATCATTTGTGTTCAACTGAGGTCTGAAATGCTGGATCAATATGATGCTTGGAGACTAGCAATCCTAACACTTTGGACTACTTTCAGGCTTCTGTTCCCATCAGAGCCATCACAAAATGGTTAACAGAAAAAAACCCTACTTGAAATGGTTATATTTTCAGTTTCTGAAATACACCATTTTTAATTTTTTTTTTTTTGGTAAAACTTTCCCAAAACTACTCCATCCAGCATTTTTCCTGGGTTGATTTTCTAAACCATTCTTCAAAACAATTTATCATTGTAAGTTGCAGCTGGTAGACTGTAATATTAAAAGCCTCACAAAGAGTGTTCACAGACTATCCCTCCAGCGGTAAAAGCGTCGTCTTTATGGGAAAATGGAAAAAGACTGAAGTTCCTACCATGGCTCTGCCCTTGAGTAGTATAAAGGGCTTTTTCCTACTGATTTCTAGATAGTCTAAATTCTGAAGCACATTCTGATGGAAGAGGAGTTAATTTTCCTCATTGGCTTCATCACTGTGAGCTGAGCCATAAAGCTTCTCATACAGGTAAAAGACTGGTATGTTCTTTGCCAAGTTTGTCCACTGTCACACAATTCAACAGCTTTCCCCTTTACAGATCTTTGAGCTTTGCAACATGCTTCCTGTAGTTGCCATTTGGCACACCTTAAATACAAGTCACAAAAAGCATTGTTACCCACTAGTGAGAGACAGCACGATTCATACACGCAACCTTAAAAACCACAGCAACTCCCCAATACCCTGCTGCTCCTACAGCAACAGGTAGTTATTAAGTGAACAAGAAGTGTACATATACCCCCAAAATGGGATATATGGAATTTATTAGAAAGTAAATCCCCTTGTTTAGGATAATTCTACCTCTGGCAGTCACAATTTCCCTAAATAGTTCTCTAGCCATTTCAAATAATGATGTCTGTTTCTTACTGTTAGCACAGCCATGCACCATTAAACTGTTGTCATTATTCACCTTAGAACAAGCTGAATTTCATCAGTGCGTGAAATTATTCCCATGCTTGATTCACAATTAACTGAAATATTCTGTATTTTTTTATTCTTTTGGAAGATGCCATACAAATCCATATATTATTAGTTTTAATTTAAGTTATAAAACTTTACCTCATAAAATTTGGGAAGCAGTGCTATGAGATGTTCCCCTGAGACAAAAGTTGGCATAATAGATATCAAGCATGATAAAGTTATCCTTCACAGTGTTACAGCTCACTAACTAAACAAGATTCTAAGCTGAACAGATTGATTATAAACTAGTAATGTAAATCTTATAAAATGGCCTAATTGTATGTAGGAAAATAACTTTCTGTAAAGGGCTCTTTTGCCCCAAATCTGTTGCTACAAGAAGTAAATTGCAAACTGAATTTAGAAACTAATTTTGTTATCAAAAACAAGTTCTGTAGTCTTTAGTCCAAAGTAGTTTATGCTTGACGACTCTCAGGGGAACCAGCAACCTCTTCTATGAACGGCTACAAAAGCTGGTGCTTTGCGTGATGTGGCAAGTGGTATTTTACTTGTGAGGGGAGGGGAGATGTCCAATTTTGCAGGGTATTGGAAGTGAACAGTGATTTTTTTGTTGATAATGAAAAGCAACACATCTTCAAACTTATTGTTGAACTTTATTAAAAAAAATCCAAAGAATATTATGTTTACTTTTAGAAAACGCACAACCAAATATTTGAAAATGCAACAGCCGTACAAAAAAAGAAAATAATTTCTATAGATATTATATAATACCAAACCTAAAAATGAGTTAAGCACATTAATAAATCAATGACCTTTAAAAAAATACTCAAAACGTAATAATGCATTGCTGTGTTTAGCCAAGAAAAGTACAGTAACTTCTTAAAAACACACAGTTAAGACTGCAACTTAGGATTTTAAATTACAAATTTTAAGGTGGTACCTGTGGATATTTTTTACAGTTACTTCTTAAAATTTACAATAAGAATATTGAAATCTGTTAGCTTTATACTTATAGCTGTATATATTTATTGCAAATAAAAGAAACTTGTTAATCCAAGCCATTTCTCTTTTAATCACAGTATAAATCAACTTTAACCAAACCAAGGAAACTGTAACTTCTAATACAATTCTAAAAGACATGCTGCATGAAAATAATTTCTTTGTAAATAATTTTGAGCAGTAACAGATGTACCATGCTGTATAATGTGTACATCATGTCCTTATAGTACCAAAATGATGTTTGTACCAAGAGTAACTGGCAAACAACCCAAATAGATTAAAACATAAACCCAAAAGATTAGTTATGATTAAGTAATCCCATTTCATTTTCCAGGCCAATTTTACAGTAACAACCTCTATCAGTCCTTGTAGTATTTACAGAATTTTGTTTAGAAATGGATTTTGTTTATCTTAACAAAAGATGTATTAATGCTTGTCTATCATGGTTCTGGAATTGAGTACAAAGGCATCATGTCTACTTTCCTAGATAAAAAGAAGATAGATACAGAGTTCATGAACAGGTCCTGCAGTAAATAATTAGGTCACTGCTCACTAAAACATTCAGTTTTCATGAACACAAAGGCAAGAGCTCTCCATTCTAAGTCACTGAAAGTTTGCTTCTGACTTTGGCAGAGACAAATTTTCAGCTAGTATATTTTCATAGAAACACTAAAAAATATGCTTCAAATTCATGTAGGACAAAAACAAGTTATGATTTGCGATATTATTCTTGAGTAAACTACTTTTTCTTGTTAAGTTAGTAATATCTTCATATTCAACAGTTCCTAAGAATGTGGAAAAGGACTCAGAAACGCTGAAATACTTCAGAATATAAAAGTGTTTATATTGAGAAGAAAGAGCTATCTAGAAGTTTTCAAATGCGCAGGTACAAAAGATTTAGCTTAAAATGTAATGATAAAGCAGTACAGTATGGATCAAGCATGAATGCTGGATATAGGAATATCAGAAGTTAGGAAAATACAGCTGACAACATTGAGATATTAAGAATGTATCAGATTCTAGTAGAATGCATTCTTGCTGGTCATGGAGGACCCAAGAAAGGACGAAATAGGGAGGCAAGAGGAGAGTGGGAAAAGCATAGTTTTCCTTTGGCTTTGGGCTTTAGAATCAAGTTGATCAATCTTCTGTTACTGCATCCTCAAGTATGGACTGTTTTATCTAATTCAGTAGCAGGCAACCTGTATGGCATGGAGCTCCAGCAAGTGTCCTCCAGGTTATACAGCTATAAGGTTAGCCTTGGTGCAAAGATCTCCTTTGCATATCTGTATCAGCTATGTTCTTTTATTCACACTATATAGGAAAACTTATGTCAAACATCAGGTTCTCAAGGGTCTGAAAACACACTGTTTGACTAGTCATTATTTAAGGCCTCTTGCCCATCCAGCTAGCTCACTGAATGATCATATGGTATTTGTACTTAAATAACTCATCTTGAAATATGTAAAAGGAGTGCTATGAAGATTAAATGTCTAATGGTAAATTTGATATTTCTCCAACATCCATCTTTAAAAGTATCATTTAAAGTTTTTCTCAGAAGAAGAAAAAAGTATTGCAGCCTAAATTATCTCTCCATGTTATAAGTCAAAAGGCAGAGGTAAATAATATTTCAGCTTCCTAAAACGTTGAGAAACATCTTCCAAAAGACAATCATCACTGCTCAAAATTAATACCTTGTTTAAAAGGTACTACTGTTTTCTCCAGACTGATTGATTATTTTAATTATCCAATTTGAAGTATTTTACCAATGAAAGTACTTATGGTAGGATTGACTACATTACAGAAAGGCATTTAAAGGATTCAGTATTGTAGCATTAATAAAAGGAAAAGATTATTTTGCTTAAATGAAATTCTCCTGACTAATTTTCTACAGAATTCTTCATGATGGTTAAGTAAGACTTCAGCTTTCTCTTCTCTAGTTAAAGTATTCAGTTAATGAATTTGGGTAAAAAGATGGCAAAATTATGCCAGTGACACAATTAGAAATAAGACAATAATGCTCTTACGTGATAAGATGCATAGCTTTAACCAGAAATTTTTTTTTTTTTAAAGTTCAAAGCAATATTTTCTTTCAGTGAAATAAAGGACTTAATTACTTGAGGGATTAGACATTTATGGACAAAGTTGTACCTGGTCTCAGTGAAAGATTTAAGCACAGTTCTAAGAAAATGAAAAATAGCAATATTCACAGATAAGCAGATAGATTGAACAAACTTGTGATTTGGAGAACTGAATTCTGAAGTTTTTCTCTAGTTCCTTCTCATGTGGCTTTCCTAGTAACTTTAGAAATTTTTCTGAATAGCAGCTCAATAAAATGAGCGAAGACAGCTTCAGCATTTGATCCAGTAATACTTACAGGAACAAACTAATCCTTGGAACAATTCCATTTAACTTATTGGTATTATATGAGGGATATGGATGATCCTGTGATGAGTCTAGAAGATAGACTGTAAGGCAGCAGGAGAAAATTTGGCATTGCTACTAGTCAATACTGGTCTATGAAGAGCATGTGTTGATATTTTCACCATGGATTGGTTCATAGAAGCGCAGTGCATAAAATGGGCAATGAAATTCCAGGACAGCAATTGCCAGAATACCGATCGTCCAAATACTGCCTTATGTACAAAGATAGGAAACTATTTTAGTGGAGTTTTGTAGTAGTTATCTACATCTTTAGCTATTTTAGTAGTTATTTGAAGCTTTTTCTCAAGGAAATACACAGCTTTCATCTTTGTCGACCCTGTTATGAGAAAGTAACTTACAGCAAATATGTTGTTACTTGTTTAAAACTCCATACAAAGCCAAGTGTGGGACAGATATTTCAATGTATTTCATTCATAGACGCATAGAATCATGTAATAGTTGAGGCCAGAATGGACCTGTGGAGACTGTCTTGTTCAAACCCCCCGCTCAAATATGTTCCTTTTAATGCAGCCAAGGATGCTATTGGTCTTTTTTGCCAAAGGCACATTACTGGATCATTAAGGTGACCAAAGATGGAAACCCCTTTTTTCCAAGGGAAATTAATCGCCAAGAACTTCTGAAAACTCCAAAGTATACCACAACAGCTTCTTCAGATAACTACATGTATATCATGTAGGACAAGTTTCACACTGGTAAGTGCCAGACATCTTGAAAACAAAAAGGCAACAGGAGTTTATTTTGTTTTCAGCCCAACAACTAAATTTTAAAGTATTTATAAGAAAAAGGAAACCAAGAAATTTAAAGTTATTCTACAACCCTTTTCTGTATAAGATGAAGAGCTATTTCCATATAAATTCCAACAGCTATATTTTATAGCTCTGGAAACATGAGGAAAGCTGAAAAAATGTCATCTGCAATGTCAGATTGAGTGGTTAATCTCTATTATCACAGTGAGCAATTGAGGTAGTTTAAGCCCGGGCTGACAGGTAAGCTCCTCACCCGGTCACTACTCACTCCCCGCCCCAGCAGGATGGAGGAGAGAACTGGAAGGGTGAAAGCAAGGAAAAAAACCCACCTTGTGGGTTAAGATAAAGACAGTTAATAAGTGAAGGGAAAAAAAAAGTTAGAAAAACCCCAAATGATGTAAAAGTAATTATTCCCATCAGCAGTCAGTCTCCAAGCAATGGCTGCTTTGGAAAAACCCCTCCCTGTTTTACAGCTGAGCATGATGTCATATGATATGGAAAAACTCTTTCATCAGTTGGAGTCAGCTGTCCCAGCTGAGTCCCCTCCCAACTTCCTGTGCACCCCCAGCCTACTTGCTGGGGGCCCCAAATGATGTAAAAGTAATTATTCCCATCAGCAGATTGATACCCAGCCAGTCTCCAAGCAATGGCTGCTTTGGAAAAACCCCTCCCTGTTTTACAGCTGAGCATGATGTCATATGATATGGAAAAACTCTTTCATCAGTTGGAGTCAGCTGTCCCAGCTGAGTCCCCTCCCAACTTCCTGTGCACCCCCAGCCTACTTGCTGGGGGGCGCTGACTGAAAAACAGAGAACACCTTGACGCTGTGTAAGCACTGTTGAACAATAGCTAAAACGCTGGTGGGTTATCACCACCGTTTTGGTCACCAGTCCAAAACAAAGCACCATACAGGCTACGATGAAGAAAATTAACTCCATCCCAGCTGGACCCAGTACAGCAATTCATTATTATCTTGTCTTTACAGTAACAGTCTGGTAACTTTATGTGGTAGTCCACAAGAAATTTTGAAGATATACAGTGATTATTTGATCTGGATGTCTGGGAACCATTTCTATGAATTACAAAGTCTCCAAACTACTCATCTACAAATAGCTTTCCTTATTTTTTTTTTTCTATTTTACAGTTTTCCCACTATGCAGCAAAATATCTAACAATTCCCCTTCATTTTTACAATGCTGAACACAATACATGTTTCGGAACACAGCAGTATACTAAATCAGTATATAAAAAATTCAATCTGAATAATGTGACTTGGCTAATGTTGAGCAGAAATGGTTTGTTTAGGCTTCAATCTGTCCAAAAATAATGCCTGTGACATGAGTTTCTCATCCGTGAGATAAGACTTCAGGCATTTCTAAAATACATACTGAGGTACAATACAGGAATACTTTGGTTAGATGAAGTACTGAAAGACTAAGTCATGGTAACAGAGCTTCACACAGGCAAGTTTCCTCTAATTGAGCTAACTCCAGGTAAGCCTGAATATCTGAATATTGCACCACTGTACATAGCATGGACACAAACATTGTTATATGGTTGATATTTCAGCTATACAAAATACTAACTTATTCTGTAGTAAAATTTAAAAATATTTCTTACCCATTCATAAGAAACAATCCAACACCCACGAGCAATTCCCAGCATAACATTCAAGGTACGACGAGGACTCCCTATAACTACATGACTTGTTGTTTCACATACATCATCTGAGAACAAAAAGTCTCCAAGTTTATTCACCACCTGAATTACTATATTTTGTTTCCTAAAAAGAAGAAAAGGAAAAAAACCATACAATGTTGAATGGCTATGCAGAATTATAGAAGCATATACACACAACACAAATTAACTCAAATTCATCTCACTTCTTTCCTCCCTAATCATTTCTTATCCTTTTCTCACTGAGCCTCTACCCATTTGCTAGCTCTGAATTCATTAGCCTTCCCACAGAGTCCAAACAGACCCTTTTCTGTCATCACACAATCATATCTACTTGCACATCAAAGCTCTTTTGTCCCCAACATCTATCTTGTCTGTTTAAATAGAAGCTTTTGAGTCAGGAATTATCTAACATATTGTTTGTGTACAATGCCTAGTACAACAGAGCCTAATTCTTTGTTGCTTTTGTAGTACTATCAGAAAAGTATTACCAGGAAATGTAAACATTTAGACACAGCACTCTTAAGAGGTTTTCATTAGGAAGCACCAGATTTTCAGCATCTGAATAAAATGCTGTGTCTGAAAGTCCTAAAGTTCTGGCTTGCTACCTATACATACGAGCCAATATTTCAATTAAAAATTCTCTTATCCTTAAATACAATTATAATTAAATATAAAATCCAGAATTGCTACCTATAACTGGAATTCTAATTTGAGTTCTCTACATAGCTACACTGAAGCCCACAAATATATAATTGTAAGAACAGTGAAATCTTGGTATCACTAGAGAAAAGCTGTTGCATGAGAACAATTTACTGTTCTTATTAATGTTTATTATTATAAATCATTATTACAAATGATCATTAAATATCTGTAAATGAAAGCCCAGTTCCAGTGCCCTCTCTGCTCCCTCAGTTGACTTGGAAATGTCCACAGCATGCTACGCAAGATAAAACAGTTAAGCACAACCTTGAACACAGGCGCATCTATCACAATGGTGATCTTCTCAGGTATTGAAGTTAATCACTGACATAATGCAAGCACACTCAGAACATCCCCAGAAGTCTCTAGGGTTACTTTCATTCTCACTACATTTCACTCCACAGAAAGTAACTCGGTTAAAGCTCTCCAAATACCCCAGCTAAAGCAGACACTTCTTAGAGGAACTCTAACATAACCTGCAAAAAATTCTTCACAGAAAATGCAACAATCTATTTTTTTAAGAAGTTTCAAACAAATAGATGAATAGTAACAGCAAACAATGTAGCAAATTAACGTCACACTTAAGTCAAAAGGTGATATTTTATGTGGAGACACTTAAAAAAAGATAATTAAAAAAAAAAAAATCAAACCACTGACTTAACTGCCTCACTCCAGACACTGGTTAGTATGAATTCTGGCCTTGGCTATATTGCCTTGAATGGTACTGGAATATTTACTATTCCCTTTTCATTTGATGAGTTTTAACTTGACATAGCCTACAAGGGAATGTTTTTGCAACACTGCAACCCACAGGGGCTGGCCCTGCCTAGACTCCATGCTCAGGGGATGCATTTCCATGCTCTACCTGAAGCTTTTCTTCTTTCTTGTGTCTACCTAAAATTCCTTACAATGTGAGGGAAAAGTCCTGTTGTCCAAGAATTGAATCTAAGATATCTTATAAATTACAGTGAAAACTCACTAGTTTATACTTCAGTCAGCTGCAAAAACTGACAGATGCAAATTTACAGCAAAATTTCACTGATCTGTGACAATCACAAAATTTGTGATTCAGAAAAACGTGTAGCTGCTGGCAGTGAATCAGCGAGCAGCATTTAATATAATCTCAAAACCCAATGCCATAAAACCACTGAACTCATGATCTTTAAATTTAAATTCTAATGAACCACTTTTGAGGCTGTAGCTACTGGGTAGTAGAATTGGCTTTTGGCCATTGAGTTGTACACTTTGGAGGACTGTTTTCTGTTCTTCAGTTCTTTCAGAAGCAGTCCTTTTCCCTTCACCCATTTACAGGTTGATAAATGCCTACAACTGTAGACAGCCAAAAGCACGATCTCAATGAAGAAGTTCTGAAGAAAAGCAATTGTTATCACCAGACATTTTTATTTAATGAAATAGTAATTGGCTAGTGGGAAAAATCAACATAAAAGCAACATTAAAGAAATAATATATTAATGACCTCTTTCAACAAAAGAACTTTTTCCGCAGCTCTGCCAGGATTTGTTCTCTTCTAGGCAGATCACTGCCTCTGTTTTCCACTACTCCTATCTGCACTGTAGCTATTATCTCTACCTCCCCCACAGTGATCCTGTATTGCATGACTTGCGAAGTGCATTTTACAGTCTTGGTGTTACTAGCATCCAGTCACATTAAATACAAGAAAAGTATTAATTCCATTTTATGTTTCTGACATATATTAGTATACTTGTTAATAGCTATTGACAACCATTTACAAAATGCTTCTAAAAGATAGCCACTAAGTGCTGTTTCTGAGTATTTGTATCTATGTAACTGTCAAGATATAATTACTTCAAACCTGAAACAGATTTATGGGTAGTAGAAATATCCTTAGTTTTGAAAAAGAATTAAAAAAACTGTAAGCAAGTGTAGTATAAAATATGGAACTGTGTTTTTGTTGGATGTTCTTTATGCTGTAAGACTTTTAAGAGAACGATAAGACCATGCCAGAAAATTATTAACTCTCCCCCAAAATATGCAGTGGCAGCTGCTTCTAATGTTTTGAAACTAAGTGGCTAAAAAGCCTACAACTGGTATTTCTTCAGCAACTATTTATATGAAAGAAAACATTTTGAACTGATGTTTCAGACTATGATTTATTAAATAGAAATAATTAAAATGTATGGGGGAAAAGCTAAGTCTTGGGCTGAAAGTCTGAACCATTTACTACATAAAATTCCTTTTTATGCTTCCTTCAGAAAAATTCAAAACTTGCTTAAGATTTTAGTTTCATTGCTCTGAAACCCTGTTGAGCTCACCTATGGAACAACTACTTCAGTCTGCACCACAGCAACACAAACATACACACACACTGTATATAGACACACATACATACATGTATATGTCGTTGCTAGCTAGAATACAGAATGAAATAAAGTATTTTAACATACGGCACATACAGCCCATGTATGGCCATTTATGCCCCTATAGGCATAAAAAGATTATCAACATTCAAGTTTAAATGGTGTGCTGACTAAAGAGTCAAAATGTTTAATACTTACTCAGAAGACATACTCGTCATAACTAGTGTCCTTGTTGGCTAGAGATGTGAAAGAGACAAGAAAACATCAAAAATCTGAAAAGATTTCCCCTTTGAAAAAAACCTTAACTTAGAAACTGTTCCATTAAAAGGACTAAACTACTTCATAATTACAGTATCACCTGGGGAAGAGGCTGTACTAATTAACATATATACTAGAAATATTAAATTTTGAGGACAAGGAATGAAGGAAAACCCTTCATCATGTCTGGTATCAAAGCATCCAATACAGCAGAAGACAGGAATGCAAGTTTCCATTAGTAAAAACAAAAAGCAAAGGATTTCCAGCCTGGGATGCCACAGAAAAAAGCATAGTATTTGTCTTCTGCCTTTTCCTTCTGATCAGGTGGAAAGGAAAAAGCAGCTTACCTTCAACAAAGAAAACCTGTAGTTTAAAATTACTCCAGTTTCTTCCAAAAGAAAGGCAGAAACTGGCTGAGATGCTGCAGAAACAATTTACATATTTATTGTAAAGTATAATTTTAATAATTTTATTTTGATAGTGTAGCTTTTTTGAGGGGGCACAACTTCAGTGTTTTAAGTCCAGGTTTTTAAGTAAACATTCTTACACTCTTAAATCCTGTCTAGTGAAAAGCTGTCCGAGTAATATAACACACAAGGTATACTCAAAGAGTACAGCAATCAGACCAGCAATTCTGAGACACCTTAAAAAGCACCCTTCCTTCCCCTGCAATACCCTCCGTAGCTTATGTGCAAAGTAGGAGTGTTTGCCCCATACAGACTTTAAACAAGCTTTTTAAGAATTAGTATTATAGAAGTCAGAAGAGGAAGAAGTATCCTTTGCTCATTAGCAATGACCATAAAAGTCTCCATCATGTACAAAGGTAGGACAGAATATGAATTTTAGCAGTATCAGAGAAATACATAACTGAACATAACATGGTCATCACAAAATATATGTAAGAGGTTTTGAAAATCTTAGCTAAGAATTACTTGTAGCTACGTGAACATGCACAAGTATATTTACATAAACATTTTAGTTTTGTAGAAAAAGTAGATTGACTGACTTGTATACAATGATTTCAAACAACTCCTCCTAATTTTCAAAATCAATATATGATTTTCAAATTACTTCTCTAGGCAACTACTGCTCCATAAGAAATAATCATTCCCATTTCTGCCCCCCCAATCTATTACCACAACCACAAGCAGTAAGCTCCCAAAGTCTCTGCTAAAATTCAGTTTCCTTTGAGTAATGTATTGAGCTGAGACTACAAAAACATTTTGAATTGGATTACAGCTGGTAGCACAGGCCAAAAAGGACTCGAGGGCAACTCATTTTACCCAGTAATGAATCACAGAACAGAAGAGAGAACACACTCTTATGCAATTCCATCCGTCCTCTCTTATCAGTACAGAACTGGTCTCCATTAAGTGTTCAAGCAATTTGTCACATTTAAGAATGGAGTTCTTTGGAGTTATCTCTGTAGACTAATAGACTGTAGACTAATAGTGTGCACCATGACTGTTCATTATAGGAACAATCTTTGCATAAATAAAACACTATTTAGATACCATTGACAAGCTAGATATTAAAGATAACATAAGAAGTAGTCTTTTCAACATGCACATGGTAATTTCATTCCATGGTTGGGTAAATTTGAAAAACATAAACCCCAGATACTATTCAAGTCTTCAGAAGCAATATAATGTAGCACATTCAATAATTTTTTAAATTCATGATAAACATGTACTCAGACAACATTATGTAAGCTATACAATACTTCAGAACTGAAAATATATACAATGTGAAAATGTAAAAACAATAATGGAAAGAAATAAAACTTCAAATGAGGAAAGGATGAAACTTTTATATTGAAATATTTCTTTGAGAGAAATTCTATGCAGTATTTATTGAAATATAAGTTTCCAAATATGCACTTATCTGTAATCAAAATTTGTTGTATTCTTAGCCAAAAGACTTTCTACTGCATTACTTTCAACTACAAATAAGCAGTCACATTTAATTGCTCTTGGAAGTTCCACGAACTTCACAGCTTCAATTCCACATTTGTTTTATATGCAAAGAGTTTGAGCACAAATAATAACAATGCAACAATATATATATACCATATACCATAACATTCATATAATTAGTATTAAATATTAAGTAATATAAACTCAAAATTTGAGTATATACACTCAAAAAAACATCTAGTAAGACATTGAGTAAAGGTTCTTGTGGCAGAAGGATTGCAATATTAGGCACTCTACTGCACAGGTTAGGGCAGATGATTGAAATCGGACACGGGGCCACATTATACAATAGTGAGGACATACCTCATACTGTCTTAATACACGTTGTTGGATTTGTGTAAACTCCTGAACATTAAAGGATCCTGGGATGTGACAGTCTGGGAAGGCACAAAACATGGCTTAAAAGCAAGGTTTTACTCTTCTCTGTCCAATCTTTCTGGGCTGAAAACCTCATCTATGTCAAATATGTATACTTCAGCATCGTCATGATGTTCTCCTTCAGTATCTGAAGTCAAGCCTCGCTGCCATCAGAATGAAGCTCTTTGGCTAAAAGTCTGGAGTTACATCCACACAAAAGAATTGCACTAGGTTCTTGGGGCCCTTGTATAGTACTAGCTCCAAAGCCAGATCCTGATGAGCCTGTTCAGAATGTGCAGAAAAATACCCTTCCTCACAACTTTTTATAAATGAAATGTCATGGAAGTATTACTAATCAGACCACTACTTTTGCCAAACGGGTTAAAAAAAAGCATTACTATAAACCAAGGCCAGAGCAGCTTGAGATCCTGCAGCTGCTTCTTCAGCTTCAGAGCAGAAATGTTTGTTAACAGTTCCTTAATACCTTATCTATAGGGAAGTGAAAATACTGGATCCACACAAATTGGGAAACCTGCAGCCTGTCCTGACATTACCCTGCAAAGTCAGCTTTTGAATTGTAGCTTTTATGCTACAACACATTGCATACAAGATGGTACAGTGAGTATTCTGGGCAAGTGTTCTGTCAGTGCTCTTTGAAGTGATTCAGACTCAGGAATGCAGAAGGATGCATACAAAAGGTAGAAATTGGAATAAATTTAACTTCTTCCAAACTATTATTTCATTTTCATTCAGAACTGCATATTTTTGCAAGTTAGAGGTCATTTGCTAAGCAGAAAACATGTTGTTTTATTGCTTCAGTAAGACAAGCAGTCCTCTTTAATTACAGTTACCAAGCAGAAAACTTAGCCAAACTATGTTTTAATTTTCAGTTGTACATTTTTCAAGTTAATTGCTTCCCCCCTTGCTATGCAATTTTTCTTCTATGCTCTTTGTGTCTGTTTTATTTTACTTGTTGCTTTTATTGCAAAAAATTTTTTTGAGTTAGCATTTTCTTTTCTGACCAGCAAAAAGACATCTGGTGAGCATCACTATGAGTTCTAATGCACATTTGTAGCAGGATTATTATTAATAAAACACTGGAAAAGGTGGTGTTCAGTTAACTGGTCCTTTTATTTATCATTAATCTCTGAATCCTGAAGAGTTGCATATCTCTACTCTAAATCAGAACACACTTCTTTCTGAATTATTTTTTAGGTCTGGAATACAGGCTGTTATAAACGACATGCTTCAGCTTTCCTTTATATACTTCTTAGAAGCACAGTCACATTAAGTATTTATTTAGAGTCTGCCAACAAGATTTTTTTAAGTCATCCGAAATATAAAACACGCATTTCAGTAGCTCAAAGGAAATAGTATTTGTAAATCTTCCCGGTACTTAAAAGACGACGTGATACTTCCTGTATGCTAACTGACCTACACCACAAAAAAGGCATCCAACCTCAAAATGTATTCTTTCTTTCTAAGTTTGAGCAGGTGTTTCTTGGAGCTGAAGGACAACAAGAGAAAAGTCCTGTTTTGTACAACCTGCTTTTCAAAAAGGTGAACTCAAATTTTGTTTCCTTAAGAATGTCATGAGTTGTTTTTCATAAGTGACAAATGAATTCAAATGTGACCATAAAATTTGTTTTTCCAGGCCAGTTCTCAAGAAAAAAGTGCATTCATGCTAAGAATTGACTCGATAGGAATAGTTTTACATTTATGACTGGTTAAATTCCAGCCTAAGTATATTAGATCTCATTTTGTCTTTGGGTCAAGAACCTAGGCCTGATATTTTTCAAGAAAGGATTTCAACCAATAAATACCACTTTTGAATGGTATATTACTTAGTCCAAATGCTCCTCTTATGCCTTAAATTTGACTGAAGTTCTGAAAGAAATAAGCTTCAGTGTACTCACAAACTCAGACGTATGCTGTGATGGAGGAAAAAAAGACCTTCAGGACTCAACAAGATACTTACCCTATGTGGTTTGGCCAATATACCAAGGATAAAGGGCTTTTTGGGGGGCAGGAGAGAGGCAGGGGAAAGTAGTGCATGCATGTGCAAATAAAGTGTAAGGGAGAGTACAAGACTATTCTGCTATCTGCTTTGTACTCTTCCAATCCCTTTTTTCCCTGGCTATTGTAGGTCCATCAGATGGTTCTGAAATTGGTTCAGAACTTGTATACTCACTTTTGATCTTTACAGCTGTATTTCAGAAGTAACAATCTTCAGTCCCACTAGTACATGAGCCAAAAAACAGAACCATGTGTAGCATGGGAATATTCAAGAGTCAGGTTAATTTCACTCTGCTTTTATCTAGGAAGGCTGTAATGAGGATCCAAAACTTTAAGGCCGTTTTTAGAAACATTCTATAAATTGTGCTACATTAATTTATTCTATTTAAGTAATTGTGGCTTATAGCTGAAAATAATTGGTAATTGTAATGAATGATTACAATTCAGTAGTTTTAAACAGCAATTATTCAAAGCTGTAATTTACTTTCTGGCTGGCCTTTCTCCTCTTATCAGTCCTTTGATACTGACATTTTTCCAGTTTCCTCTGGCCGCAAACTCAATTTTGACTGTAATTTTCTGACCAAATATAGTACCTCTGCTTTGGTCTTAGAAAGATGTGAAAAATACAC